CCATGCGCCTCAGACAGTCCAACGATTGGTAGTCTTAAAGCACACATTCCTGGGAAAAGTTTCTGTTATCACCGTTTCTCACACATTGCTTTCTGCTGACCTCTGCATTCCTGCAGCTGCAGACTTGTTCTTGTTTGACTAACGGTCAGCTCCTGGCCTTCTCAGAACCCAGCACAATCCTTTAAAACTACCAAGACCCCAGCACACTACAACTTTTGTCAATTTCCTATCTTCCTCTTTCTCCCTGTTGTATACTTTCCAGGTTTCATTTATTAATACCTCCAAATCCTTGTTAGAAGGATGATCGATCTTTTGTAACCTGTTTCTAATATCAGGGTTACTTTGTGCCATTAACAGTCCCAATAATTGTTGCTTGCCTATTTCTGATGACAGGTCCAGGGTAGCGTATTGTCTCACGGCAACTCTAAGCCTGTCTAGGAATGCTGCAGGCATTTCATCTCGTCCCTGTCTGACATCATACAATGCGGTCCAATTTACAGCTCTAGGTATAGCTTTTTGCAACCCCACTAGGACCAATTTTCTGTATTGTTCTAAGAATTCATAATACCCTGGATTATTTGGGTCCCAATTAGGGAAAAATATCGTCTATGTTTCCTCTTAAAACCCTTGTTGCAATCTGTCCTTCCACATGGTTTCTTGCTGTTTTTATTACAAGCTCCTTTTCTGTTTCTGTCAATTCTGATAGTATCAGATCTATATTTGACCAATCAATATCTTGATTTTTCACAATTAATTCAAATCTTTTAGCCACTTTTTCAGGATTTTCTCTAAAACATTTAGCTTCTTCTCTCCAGCTATTCAAATCACGCTTTCACTTTTGTCTGTTCACCTGTTGGTGCTATTACTTGTCGAAAAAGAGCAACTGTGTGCCTAGTTTCAGTTTTAGCTTTCCCTTTACCTCCTATCTTGTCTTTAGCTTTCTGTCCAGCAGTCCAATATGTACTGCTAATTCCTTCTTCTGGGTCATCTACACTTTCTGCTATGCTCTCAGAATCTGTTTCATCCCTTCCTGATCCCTGTGGGCTACCGGGTTTCTGTCCTGCCTACTCTGGCCCCCTTGGCTGTAGCTCATGGGGATATATTATACTTTCTTCATCACTTTCTCTTTTCCCTAATTTGAGACACTGTTGACTAATACTACAAGAGTCACAGCAGCCCTTTTTTGGTTTATCATTTTTCTGCTCCTTTTCTAATGCTAAGACAAAAGGATCTTGGGGCAGGACATTTGTTCCAGTTTTTCTGCCATTCAGGTTTATTTCTTAAGGTGAAAAACATATCTATCTGCTTACATTACTTCATCCCACTTTTGCTGTCTACTGAGAAACAGCATGAGCTGTAAAATTGTATTGTAATCAAGACTTCCTTCAGGTGGTCATTTTTCACCATCATCTAATGTATAGAGGCCACCGGTTTTGGTAGTATTTTAAAAATGTCCTTTTATTCAGATTCCCTCTGGGAATTCCATCTAACTCCTTCCAGTTCTTCAAAATGCAACCCAGAGGTGTTTTAGTATTTATTTCTTTACTTTTTTTGCCTCCCATTATTATAAGAGCCCAGTATACCTCTTACAACTTTTTTCTTGGTCTCTTTGGGAAGGGATAATATGTATAATGTGTCTTAGGCACTTGCAACACTTTTATGACAACAAGTGTAGGGACTGGTTCAAACTCTCTGAGCATCAGTAATATGCCATCCTATATAGGGGTCGTGAGCCCACACAGGTTCCCAATTACTAAAGTTCTCAATTACTAATAGATCATATCCCTTCCATTCTAAATGATCTATAAATTCACTCAATGTTCCCCATAATTCTTCAAGTACTTCTCACACGGAACTGCAGATTGGAACTCCTCACTCACTTCGCAGTAAAGCCTGTTTCTCACACACCCACTGACACAGTCCAAACTTTCTCAAAAGTTTCCCTATGTCATGAGTTTTACACTCTAATATTGTGTTACCACACAAAGACACAAGATGTCACTGCAGGCCACATGTAATGTAATGTAATGGTCAGTCTTTGCGAACGAAGAACTGGGGAAGGTCTTTACATCTTCCAGCCTGCGCATTGGATTTTTTTTAGGTGAGACACAGTGTGCGCGGAACTGAGCCCACCCTTTAATCCTGAGGTTCATCTGCCGGGGCCAAGCGAGCTTGGACGGTGGCAGCGAGGTCCTCGGGACGTAGATGGATTGCCTTACAGGGCTAACGAGCTCCATCTGCCCGGGGAGGGGCCCTGACCAGGAATTGAAACCGGGCCTCGGCGGTGACAGCGCCGCGTCACCACTAGACCACCAGGGGCTCCCTACTCGTAGACCACATAATACACACTTTACAGCAGATTTGAGTAAATCTTTAGAAACAAATACCTATTAGTCATATGACAATGATAACTTGCCCACTGGGTCTCTTCCAAACTTTGATTAGCCTGACACCTGATACAATACAGATTTAGGGTTTGATTTAATCTTATTTCTTGAGTTCCCCTTGGTCCTAAAATGTATTTACCACAATTGTTGCATAAAACCCTCACATATAATGAGCAGAAACAAAAAGGACAAATCTTAACTCTGGGCTTTAGATGGTAAGTTCTTAGTTACTCATTCAGAATTACCGGAACCACTTCCCATAAATGATTGCCAATTTTAAACATAAAACAAGACAGCATATAACACAAAACAAAACAGATAAAAACACAGAGTGCTATTTCAGTTGTTTACATTCCAGGAATTCCTTTACAGGAGAGAAGAAAACCAAAAGGAAACTTAACACCTTAGCTCCCAAACCTTAAGAAAACCTAAAGGAAATTCTTGCTTTCCCAAATCTTAAGACAACCCAAAGGAAACCTAAGAGTGTAGCTTACCCAAATCTTCAAGTCAGAATAAACATCATTTTGGCCAAGTAAAACATAATGCAAACCGAATCTAGGATAAACCAGACAGGGGTTATTACCCCTTTTAGAATGTGTCCCTTCTCATACCCTGTGGGAACAGCGTCCTGTCTCCGTCTTACAGAGTAAACTCAACCAAATTAAACCAAAGAGCAAATATAAATACCTTTTTATGTTGAGCAGAAGTCACATCCACCTGTGTGGGAAGCCAAGGGGTTAAGGGGAGAAGATCCAGTCGGAGGCCTCGAAGGTCCCCAGGCCCCCTGGATTCCAGCACCAGAGGAGTTAACTCTTGGCTGGCTCACCAAGAATGATGCCAAAATTGGCAGGATATAACTGCTCAGAGATAAAATTTGGTCTTAAAGCAGCAAAGGTATTTATTTCGAGCAACATTAGAGAACCACCTGACTCACGTCGGACAAAGTAGCTCTAAGGTTTTGGTGAGAAGTCAGGGGTTCTTATGCAGTTTTCATGAGGGATTACAACATTTCTACATACATATTCATCAGGTTTTGACATCTAATTATAATATTCATAATAGGTGGGGTTTGGGCTGAGCTTGAGGTTGAGTCATCTTTTGGGGAGATTCCCCGTGGTTGATCCTGTTCTTCGGCCTCAATTGGGGTCTTTCTCTTCTTCCTCGGTTGAACTCTTCAACTCTCTTTGTTTCGCTGACTACATGTTAGGGGCTTGCAAAACCCCCCTGACTCATTGCTCCTTTATCTCCCTGGATGCCCATCCTATCTTTATTTATGACTACTGGGTTGACCTTTCTGCTATCTTTACTAGAACAGAACAGAACAGATTATCTCTGCTATATTTCAACATAAGCGGAACTGTTGGAGCAAGGTACCATCTCTCTCTTAGCTAATCCTTTAAAACCTGGTCCCTGTCTCTGTTATATTTTAACATAAACATCTAATTCCTCAGAGCAAGGTACCAGAACCTCCCCCAGAGCAAGATTCCAGCACCCTCTAAGTTAACTCTTAAAACCCTTGCTCTGTTTCAATGCCAACTCTGTGCCAACAACGGTTCTGCTGTATCTTTTCCAAAAGAGAAGTTCCCAACAGTGAAACTATACAATATTTTACCATGCCACATTGACAAACACAACCACGGACCAACTATGGCAGTCTCAGACATGACTCAGGCCTCTGTCACAGGCATTAATCAATCAATCAATCTGAAGTTTTAACATATTTTTTCATCAATTTTAGTATTATTCTTAACTTATTTCTTTAAATCTCGACTATGGCATGTGCATGAGTGCATCTAATTGTACACATGTACCCAGGACTAGGTGTTTGTTGGTTTAAAGCATAAAAGACACTGTATAAATAACTTTGCTTTTTTAAAGGTACCAAGAACAAAGTTACAGGCATTTAAATTATCAAATAGATTCAATGGTTCCAACGCTGTGTGTCCATTCTTCAAATGATTCATGCATCCAAGCTCCCCCCCTTTTTTTTTTTTTCCTTTTTCTTTCTCCTTCCTTTCTTTCTCTCCTTCCTCCTCCTCTTTCAGTTTCATAGTTGAAGTTCAGGCCGTGCTTCGGAGAGAGACACGGAGGTGTGCAGATTGGGGGTGGGGGGGCGAGTGACCAGGAGTTGATTTTCTCTGGATGCCGCTGCCCCTCGGGTTCACCCACCGCCGCGGAGGAGGAGGGGAAAGGGGTGGAGAAAGGGAGCCTGTGGCATCCCAGGTAGCTGGCTGGTTCTGGACCAGCCCGAGCATGGTGAGGATCGCAACCAAAAGCAATTACGTTTCGAGAAAAGCGCCATGATTAAGAATGCAGGGGGTAAATCTCCCACCAGAGGTAAATTGGTATGATTAAAAGCAGGAGACAGAACCCTCACAGGAGGGAGACTACCACGAGTAAAGGTAGAAGACAGACCCCCTCAACGGAAGTCCTAAAGCCCCCATCAGCCAGGAATATAAATAGACTGATCAGCAGAGCAGATAGATGATGCCCCAAAAGGGTGCAATGAAACTACTCAGAGACAGTTTTGGGTCTTTAAGCAGCAAAAGGTATTTATTTCAAGCAACATTGGGGTGTTAGACAGCTTGCGCTGGACAAACTAGCTCCAAAGTTCTCAGTGAAAAGTCAAGTAATTTATACAGTTTTGGTGAGAGATTACAACATCTTTACATGCATATTCATATAATTGCAACATCTAATCATAATATTCATAATAGATGGAATCTGGGTGGAGCCTGGGGTGGAGTTGTCTTTTGGGGTGCTGTTTTGGTGGTCATTCCTTTTTCGTCAGCCTCAAGGGGTCTTCTTCTTTTCTTCCTCGGCTGAACTTTTCAACTTTCTTTGTTTTGTTGAATCCATGATGGTGAATTCTGCAAGATTTTGGGCTCATTCCCCTATTTCGCCTCTCATCTCTTAAGTGTTCCTATCCTATCTCTTCATTCATGCTCTTATCTAGGCGTGTACGCATTCTTTGGCATGTAAGCCTATCTTGGATGCAAGGTACCATCCTTTAAAATTCCTAAGACCTAGCATCTATCTCAAGCTAAGCATTCCAAGTTAACTCTTTAGGCCCTTACTTGCTTCATTTCCCCCCTTTTCTTAGAACTTACGAATTCTTTCGTCAAGTTCCACAGACAAAGGGTTTCGATAGGTGTGCATTGCTACTCACATTATGTGAGTCCTCTTTAATACGGCACTCAATCTGAACCACAACCAGACATTAAGGATGGATAGCAGAATCATGGTTCCTACTATGATTAATATTGGATGCAATAGATAGTGAAACACTTGTGTTGCTGTAGGGGAGTACCCTGTAAAAATGTTCCACCAATGGGGTTCTCCTTCATGTTCTACATCAGTTAAAATAGACTTTATGCTTTCAGAGTCACGCTTCACTTGACAAAGCATGCGTTGTGTAATAGTTAATAAAAGCAAAGGTGAATAATTTGCTAATCAAATTAAATTTGTAATGTTAGTGATTAGTTTGAATTACAGGTGTCAAGCCACAATGTTGTATTACTATGGCAAGCTATATCTTCTTGTGTTGAACAGGTTCTGAATGTAAGTTTGGGTGTGCCTGTAAAATGTGGGTGGAGGAAGTCGTCCAGAGGAACGGGAGGAGGGGGGGAGAGAAGTCTGCCGCCTTCCTGCCCTCATCCGGGACCTGCCGCTGTCATCTAAGCGCCAACTAGAGGGGAGGGGATAATGGCACATATAAAAGACCAGTGTACGTTTTTTGGCGTGCAGACCGTTGGTGGAACAGGAGTTTCCCCCGGTCTCCCAGCGTGTTGTTTTGCTTATTTGCTTTTAATAAATTTCTACTATATTTTAAAAATATATCTGGTCTTTTGACTATAACAATTTGGTGCCGTGTCTCGGATTTGGATCCCTGTGCAGTGGGATTCTCCCTCTGAGAGGGCGCCCCCGTCCCTGTTGGACGGCTCAGGAGGGTCTCCTGCAGCACAGATTTCAAATATTTGACCGAAATTTTGAAGGCAAATAAGCAAATAAACTACTGCAGTTCCCTGTAATTTTCGTGCACGAACTCCAGACGAAGACTTGCTCAGGGAGAGAGCGAGTGATTAGGGTGTGAGAAATAAATGAAACGGTTTTATTACAAGCAGGGTTTCCATGATTGCCTCATGATGAGGAGTTTGTGATCAGGGGTGTTCTACAGTTGCCTATGGCTGCAGTTCTGTTGCAGCCATGACCTGTTAATAGTTGTGATCATGTTACTGTTGTTTGCTATTGCTGTGTGAAGGCGAACCAGGAAACCTGTAAGGCAATGAGACCAACCAGGGCTCATTGCCAAGGGACCATGCGGCTGGGACAGGGAAACAATCTGATAGGATGGTTAAAACAACCAATGGACTGGAAAAGAGAAGTGTGAGCCTCTTGCGTGGGGGGGATGTCCACGCAAGTGACCCAGGGCCTATCTTGCATAGGAACATGAGACATACACACAAGTGTTATATGACTCGCAAAATGGCGAATTCCTTTATTACAAGCTGGTTATATAGGGGGGCTATAGAAAGTTCTGGTACAAGGGTGGGTTTGTGCAAGGAAACATCGAATCCAAAGGGTTTCTGATAAGGGGGCTCGGAAAGATAGGTCAGGAATATATGCCTGGCCATATAGGGAAAGGGGGTATCTAGGGAGGAAAGGGAGGTGTGGTCTGGAGGTACAGGAGAGGGGGGTCCTGTGGAGGACCTGTTTCTTATCACTGGACTTCAGGCTTTTCCTTGGTTCCAGCTGTCAGAGCACTCCGAGATGGATTTCTTCCTGAGAGGCCCACTGTTCTTGAAGCATCTCTCTGCATTCCTTGTAAGCTTCCATTCGTCCACTCCCCACATGAGCCTGCCCTGAGAGAACCAATTGGGCTCAAGAAAAGGCTATATTGCCTTTTAAGAAAGAAAGAAAGCAGAGCAGAGCTGAGCATGGGAGGGACAAGGGAACAGTTATGCAAATTGAGAGACCTTAAAAGAACTGCCCCCCCCCCATCTCGGTGTGTTCTCAGGCCCTGGCACGAGGCAAACCTGATTGCACCCAGCGCGCGCTGAAAATAAAAGTTCTTTGTTTCACTTTATTTGGCCGTCTTCGAAATTTTAATTTGAGATATTTCTCACAATTTGGGCGCTCGTCCGGGATCCAATGTCCGCCAGTCCAGGTGAGGGACCAGAAAACCTGGAAGGCGCGCCCCGCTGATTTCAGCGGTCCAGAGACCTGTGCCCTCTCCTGGGACGGCAGCAACGGAGGACCCGAGGACGAACGGCGTGAAACAAAGAAAAGGGGGAAAGGGAAATCGGATCCGGTATAGAAATTAATCCGCGGTAACCGTTAAACCACGTGCAAGAGAATAGGTAAGAAAAGGGAAAAAGGCTTCTCGGGGGGGACCCGGTGGTAATTGAAGGCTTTTTCGGGGGGATCCGGAGGAAAGAAAGCATTTTTGGGGGGGACCTGGTGGAAATAGAAAGCATTTTTGGGGGGGACCCGGTGGAAATAGAAAGCATTTTTGGGGGGGACCCAGAGGAAATAGAAAGCTTTTTCGGGGGGATCCGGAGGAAAAAAGCATTTTCGGGGGGACCCGGTGGAAACAGAAAGCTTTTTCGGGGGGTCCGGAGAGCAGGAGGCTTCTCGCAGGGACCCGGTTACAATTGAAGGCTT